TGATGAGACCCTGGGTAGCCAGTAGGGTGACCTCGTGTGCTACATGCATCTCCTGACAGCTTGTGATTGTTTTTGAATTGTGATTGTGTGACCTGTAAGTGCAAGTGCGGCGGGACCTGAGGTGAGTATGTGAATCCCTTGGGTGCTGAGTTGGCTAGTTTTTATTAAGCCGCATGCTGACTGCTTGATTGTTGTTTAATACCTGCCTAGGACTTAGACTGGGATAGATTCGTTTAAGTCTTTAATTCCTTTGTGGAATTATAGCAGGTAGTTGTAGAACCGAGTGACCAAGATGAGTAGCGAGGGGAGAGGTATAGGAAGAATTTCCAGAAGGGGTGCAGGAAGAGGAATCCGAGGTAGAGGTCGTGCTCGAGTAGGAGCAGTAGACAATCTGGGAGTCATTATTCACTTAGAACAATATATATCAAAGAATAATTTTTCAATGTTATAGTGCAGGAAGCTCCAAATGAACTTGTTGACTTGATTGATACTGTTCCCCATTCGCAGTTTCATTATCAATAGAAACATTTAAGAAAAATGGGTGCCCTTCAATAATATCCTCTATAGTGACTAAACTACAAAAAAACAATACTATGTAAGATGAGTAGATTGTCTATAATGTATTCATCAACCACAATATTCACGATCACGAGGATTATCTGAGGAAATAAAGTTAATAATAGCAAAATAAATTTAGAAGAAGACAAACGAGAAGGAAATGGGAAGAGCACCCAAATTGCTGGAGATGACATTCAAGTAAACTGGATTTCTGTTGTGATATTCTGAATTTCGATCCATTTTTGGGATTTATAAAATGTGTATTTCGTCAGTGCGCTTATAGTTAAATCTCGCCCGGAACTGATCACTCTTGGGTTATTTTTTGTTTTTAAATTAGAGATTTCGCTAGAATCGCACTCGATCGAATTTGGCCATTATTTAGAGCTCGAACTTTGATGTCGAATTTCTCGGAGTTTCGTGACAAATTTAATTGGATGGTGTCGATATTATTGTGGCCAGCGTCGATATTGCCCGGGATTAGTGAAAAGTGAAATTTGGACCGGGTGCGGATTTGGACTAATAGACCTCTCTTTGGGTTTATTTTAGTTAGTGTTTTGGTCCTTTTTCCTAATTTATAATTAGGGTTTTCGTGGGCCGTTGGATCGATTTTGGGTTTAAATGAGGACCGTCGGATCATACTCGAGTGCGTTGACTTTTGTCTCTCTCTCTTCCTCTGCTCGATCACGTCCCCCTCTTCCCTATGCACGTCCACTCCCCCTCTTCCCCATGCAAACCCCTCCCTCTCTTTTCCTTTTTCTTTCTTTTCTTTTTCTTCTTTCTTCTTCTTCTTCTCTTCTTTTCCTTCCCCCGCCGCTGCTCTTACGCCCTGCTCGACCACCGCTCGTCCCCAGCCTAGCCGCTCGCCGCGCCCGACCGTCGCCGGCCGTCTGCCTTGCGCCGCCGCTCACCCAGCCCCCGCACCACCAGTCCGGTCGTTCCCCTCGGCTCGGCTGTCCTTCCCTCCCCTTTGCGCGTGGGCAGTAGCTCGCTGCCGCGTCCGCCATGGCCTGGCATTGCCGAGCCTCCAGCCGGCCCGTCCGATCTCGCCCAGCCACCTGCGACGCCGCCGTGCCGCCCCGACCACCGCTGGCTCACCACCACCGTCCCAACTCCCCATCTCGCCCATCCCCCGACTCGGCTTCCCGTCCCCACCACCGTCGCCGTGTAGCCCAGCTTGCCGGCGGCTCTCTTCGCTCTGCTCGCCGAGCTCACCGTCGCCATCGCTGTCCGGGCCGCTGGACCCCACCACGGCCGAGCAAAATTTGCACTCGCCTCCGCCGAATGCCGAGCCCGTCGCCTAAGCACACCTGGCCACCGTCCCGGCCGTGGCCGAGCTCGCCCAGCCATCGCCTGTCCGCCCAGGCCGCTGTCTCGGGCTTTGCCTCGACTGCCCTAGCTCGTGCCCAATGGCTGCCCCGCCGTGGCCGGGTCGGACAGCCTGTGCCGCCGCCTGTGCCGTGGCCGCGTCCTCTAGTTCGCTGGGCCGAGTGCCGAGCCGTGGCCGAGCGCCGTGCCGAGCACCCCGGTCATGGCCGAGCACTTTGCCGGCCACTGTACCCGCTGTGCCCGTGCCGCTCCGAGCCGCCACTGTTCCCCCGGGCCATTTTGGGCCCCTTGCCGGATTTCCCCGGGCCAAACTTAGGTAAGTGACTCCCTAAACCCTACTTAGTATAATGGGTATTATTAGACTTGTTTAGGGGTTGATTAGCATCGGTTTAGTTGCTGAGCTTGGAATAGGATTGATAAGTGAATGTGGCTAGTTGGTGGATTAAATTGTGGTGATTGTGGCTTAATTAGTGGCTGAATTACAGTGGGTTCAATGGCTAGTTTGTTGTGGTATTTGTGGGTGAAAATGGATGCTTGATTGTGGCCGACTTGAACGTCGGATTGATGAGCTTATGACTGGAGTTTGGATTTTATGACGTGTTAGAATGACGAATTGTGTTGTGGTTGTTTGGAAAGGGTTGTGTGATATTTGATTATGTGAAAGACGTGAAAATTGATTGAATTATCTGGCGTGTGTGTTTGCTTGAACAAGCCCAGATTGATCGGAGGGCTGCCAACCTGTAGGGTATTGACCCGGGTTGTGAGAAAGGACCCGTGGGGTGTTGACCCGGGTTGCGAGAAAGGTCCTGAGGCGTGTTGACGAGGGACAAAGCCCGGATTGATCGGAGGGCTGACCTGAGGCGTGTTTACGCTGGTTGTGAGAAAGTGAGAAAGGACCTGTGGGGTGTTGACCCGGGTCGTAAGAAAGGTCCTGAGGCGTGCTGACGCGGGACAAAACCCGGATTGATCGGAGAGCTGACCTGTGGGGTGTTGACCCGGGTCGTGAGAAAGTTGGATGGATGCGCATGCGTATTGTACTTGATGGAATTGGGTGAACGTATGTGTGTATGGTGCTCGAATGATTGTGATATGCACATGAGATGTTATTGCATTAATGTGAATTGATTAATATGCAGAGTTGGCACTTGGTTTATGGCGAGGTAAGTATGTTTGTGTGGATTCGATTGTGTTGGCTGTTAGATCGCATGTTAGACTCGTCTGGGTACGCATTGGCCTAGGTGGGGTTTAAGTTGTCTGCTTTTTGAGATTTATTCTCATTGCTGTAGTGCAAACCTTTTCAGATCCTTGTCCTTGAGCATGTCGCCAGCTAGGCGTTTTGGGGTCTTCATGTATACGGTGCATGAGGAGACCGAGTATCCGGTTGGCCCAAACCAGACTTACATTAGGCACCTTACTACAGTCTGGGTAGATGAGGGTTTAGAGGACTTGCAGCGCCATACTTATTTGGCCTGGTTTCATCGTGTCAGGTTGGAGATTACTGGGCCAATCCGTGATTTTGAGGGGCTACAGCATGGTAGTGAGGATGTGGCGAATTGGGAGCCCTAGGACAAGTATGCTCCCGATGGCGAGGTGACGAACCCCGACGGTCCACCGGAGAACCCTGATCCAGAACTCGAGCCTGTACCGGAACCCGAGCCCGAGCCCGAGGAGGAGCCTATGGAGTATAAGCATGAGGATGAGCCGATCGAGATAAACTCCGATACGGGGTTCGAGTCTTCAGGGTCTGATCCTGATTGGGTACCGTAGGGGCGTTTGGGTGCCGGGCTTAGAAGCCTTTTTGGTAGAGCCCTTTTTGTGCAGTGTGCAGCTAGTTAGCCTACCCTACCACCTGTTCCATTTTGATGATGAAGGTGGATGCTAACCCTAGAAGCCTATTGTATGAATTTTATGGTCTCAAGCTAATGATATGAGTTTATTGTTTTGTACAAGTACTACCCTGTTGTCGTTAATTATTGTCTGGGTTGTTTGATTTCCGCTTCCGCTTGCGTTTGTCTTCGAGTGTTTTGTTTGGGTAGGCGACGTGTCCTGGGACGTCGCGTTCAATACAACCATCGAAGGGGTGTCGCGAGCCCGTTGGGGTTTGGGGCGTGACATCTGTTACCTTTGTTAGTACTTCGTGTTTCTGGGATGCTCCCATTGATAAATTAATTGGGTGGAATGATGGAGGGAGAGTAACCCATAGGGATGGCAATGGGGCAGTGGGGCTTGCATTCCCCATCCCCACCTCATGATAATTAAGGAAGCCGCATATGCACTCTGCGTCCCCATCACCGTGGGGCTTTCAAGTTTTGCTACCCTCTTTGTAATGTTGCCCCACATTTATATTAAACTTAACTTTAATTCAAGAGATTATTTTGGATTTAACATCACACGATTTTCTAATCCTTGAAAAGGTAGAAAAGATCGATTGTCAAGCAGTAGTCGAATAAAAAAATTTAGGGGCGGGCAATGTGGACATATGCTGGCCGGGATAAATTGCCATCCCTAGTCACCCAAAGGCCTTTGGTTGTTTGGTGCTTCTTCCCAGTTGGTTGCATGAGTCTCCTGTTTTTTTGGCTATGAAGTGCTCCCGTGTTCCTCCTACTTAGAACTTACAAGTTCATAATATGATCTCAGATGTTTGATAAAATGTAGTATTTTATGCTTGAGATGTCTAATCCTTTGTTCTGATGTTTAGATAGATACAAAGGATATCCTGTTTATATGGGGTGGGGCCTTTGTTGATTTGGATAAGACTATCTCGGAAAGGTAAAGCCCTCTTAGGATCTTTGGATGATGTTAATCGGTTCCCCTATTTTTTTTCATCTATTTGATTGCTTGTAGAAAGTGAGCTCATAGTGTCAGATTTTGTTTGTATTATTTTTGCAGGGGACAATATTCTTCCATTGGATTTGGAGCACCAGTGCGTGCAAACATGGGGACTGGTGGACTGACAGATTCACTGGTGGCATCCTCATTGTTGCAATCTGCTGAGTATTAGAATAAGAACTAAAGAATTCGATTTAGGTATTATTTTGTAATTCCATGTTCTTTTTGTTGGTGAAAAACGAGATTTACTTGTGACTGTCCCAGGTTTGTTAATTTCAGTATGACCTCATGTCCCTATGATGGCAATGCAGGTAGAAAGTGGTGATCTCATTGCATATGGCCTTATTCCAGAGTTTGTTGGAAGGTTTCCTGTTGTGGCTATCTTATCAGCTTTGAGTGAAGACCAATTAGTTCAGGTGCATGGTTACCAATAGGATAACCCATACTGCCTCCACAATAAGCTGATTTCCCTTTAACTGATGTTCATCACTTTTGCTTTTCTTTTATGGGAAAGTTTACGGAATCTTTTTCCTTGATGTACGTTAGGTTCGCACAAAGCCGAAAAATGCTCTCGGTAAACAGTACAAGAAGACGTTCTAGACGAATAATGTATGATGATCTATCAGTAGTCTTAATGAAAATATTTTCTTGAAAACATTCATTTTGGTGCTATAGTGTTGTGCGAAGCTATATTATCGCATATATTTCAGGTTGAATTACTGTTTACAGATAATGCCTTGAAATTAATTGCTAAGAAAGCATTGGTAAAGAACACTGGTGCACGGGGTTTAAGAGCTCTACTGGAGAATATACTGATCGAAGCAATGTTTGAGGTACAAACTACCATTTCAGTTCCTTCTATAATATACCGATTGCATCTTCCTCTGGTACTAAAAACTAGACATGGCCACAGGCCGGTTTCGGCCCAGAACCGGCCCTTGGCCTACGGGCCCGGTTTCGGTACATTTTGATTACAATTTATATTGAATAATTCATTATTTCATAATTTGATAATTTATAATTTATTTATTTCATAATTTATTTTTTTAATTTTTACCGGCCTGTTCTGAACCGGCCCGGAACCGCCAAGGGCGGTTCCGGTTCCGGTTTATACATGGCCACAAACTGGAACCGCCGGTTCCGAACCTGAACCGGCCAGTTCTGAATCGTGGCCATGTCTACTGAAAACTCACTCTAATTTCCAGTATGGTTCTCCTGGCCCAAAAAATGTTGATAATATTAACATGGTCTTATCAGTGATGTGTCACTCTACTCCATGCTGCAGCAACCCGCTACATGGACAACTAGTGGCTGAGAATAAAGGAGTGGATTTCTTAAAATGGTTATGAAAGTTGTATTTGTTACTTTTGAAACTACTTGGCAATACAAAACCTAAAGCTCTAGTCTCATTGTTGCAGTTAACCAGAGTAATGAAATCAAGTTTTTGTACCGTCCTGTATAGTGGCCCATAAAGATAGGAAAAGTTTGTGTGATGTCCTTCGCAATCTTTACATATGTGCAGTCGATCAATTATAACTCTCAAATAGCAGTTTGACCCCTCAACCAAAAAAAATCAATAAATAATAAATCTTGAGGAAGCAGGAGGGGTCTGTTTATTCCATATAGTTGCCAAACGATTGTACTCTTGGCTAAAAAATCAAACCCTTATCTAGTCAGTAAGTCTGATCATAGTCATGATAGCATAAATTTTGCTATTGTTTAGAAGGGAAAAGTGCGGGAAATCTGTACTCTCGAGTTTTGTTTCCCTGCATTACTCATACTCTCCAATGCCAAAAAGATATATCTTTCTACCGTACTCGTTCCACAGGATGCTGCAGTTGTCAATACTGTAAGTACCGTTCTAGTCGATGAGGAGGCTATTGGCCCATTGGATGGACCAGGATGCGGAGCGGAAGTTATTCAAAAGGATTAGCAAATAGAAGCAGTTCTTCCATGACTAAAAGTTGTGCCCTAAATGTGGTATGTAGTGCCTCCTTTTAAATGCTGTCTCGTGCTCAAGTTTCTTTTCATTTGATTTTCTTATCTCTATTTTGTCTACACTAGGTAGTCAGCGCTTTTGCAACTTAATCTGAGAGACGTGAAACTTCAAGATGCTAATTACTGGTGGAAACTTTGGTCTCTAAAGTTGGGATCAATTTTTTTTGTTCTCAAAGTCATCACTCAACGGCTCACTTAAGATACTGCACAATAAGATGGGCATATTGTAGAGTTCCATAAGGATATCGCACACAAGGATGGGCGTAGTGCTGGGTTTGGTCTACTTTGGGGATATTACATGCGGAGCTGACGGTGATGGATCCGGTTCGGTGGCCTCGAGTCTATACAAGTAATTTCCATTGTGCAAACTGTTCGTACAGGAATTTTCTGATGTCTGTGATGGTGATAGTACAGATTGTCATACTGGCTAGGTCTTGTTTTGCATATGAGATGAAGGGGAAAAATTTGGGACTGTGACAATATATAAAGCCGGCCAACTCTTTCTGCGTAAGGCTTTGCTGCTTCACTAGTTGGGTCATTGGATGGCAACTATCACTACTGAAATGTTCTGTCTTATGAGATTCGAGAATAACCCGATAAATTTTGGTCAGATCGTGTCGACAGGAACATAGCATCCAACAACATATCAAATGGTTTACAAAACTGTTTTACGAAAGGATGCGATGAATTGTATTTTGGGTATTTGAAGAAACAAGTCGTATTGAATCTATATCCTTTCATGAGCTAATTTTTTAAAATTCAGTATTTTGTCTTTCAAACATTACTCTTTTACTCTCAATTTTCAGAGTTGATGCAGTTATGTGCTAATGTAACCTTGCCAAGTGGATATTGTCTTCCGTAGTGACTAAACTACAAAAAAACAATAAAATTTAAGATGGGTAAATTGTGTATAATGCATTCATCAACCACAATATTCATGATTATGAGGATTATTTGGGTAAATAAAGTTAATAATTGCAGAATAAGTTTAGAAGAAGAAAAACATGAAGGAAACTTGAAAATGTGAGGGTTAATACCACGAAAAACCCCAAACTGGTACATCTGTGACAAATTTACGCAAAACTAATTTTTTGACCACCAAAAACTCATAAACTAGTACACCTATGACAAATTTACTCTCCGTTAGTTTCCATTAAATTTTACTGTCAAATTGCTTTATTAAATGACTCACGACAGTCAATGGATATACAAGTTTTGGGTTTTATCCTCCGTTTGTCATAGGTGTACCGGTTTGAATTTTTCGTGGTATTAATCTAAAATGTAATGGAGTGTGAAAGAAGTGGCTAAAGTATGGAAAAAAGAAAAGTTGTTTGAAAGGGATGTGGGTAATTTTGTATTTTAATAATATTGAAAAAAAAGAAAACAAATAAAAATGTAAGAAATAATCCGAAATCGAGAGTAAGACTCGCGCTAAATAATGTAGTCAAATTCAATGTGATAATGGTGTGTAGGGAGCCAATAAAGAAATGAAAACAGTGCGAGCCATAATTTATCATCCTCTTTTGTGAGAGATTCTAATTTCTCATATTTATCCAATATGTGCGAGCAAATTGCGGATGCACCATGACCTTTAACAAAAGGTTACCTGAATCCCAAACGACACGAGAGGTGGAACTTTAGATGGCAAAATTTCTAACACATACTATCTTGAATACCGGAATCTTGCTGCGATGCATAAAAAAGAAATTCTATCGTGCAACGTCAATATATGGAATCAACATTAACAAAAGGTAATATGGAAATTCTTATTGCAAAGTAAAAGGGACCAAAAATAAAAGATAATATGGAAATTCTCTCCTTTAATTAATCTATGCATAATGATTTTATACTTAATTTGAGTTGATCTTATATGGAAATTCTTATGCCAATGTAAAAAAGGAAAAAATGTAAAAGGTAATACGGGATTTCTCATCACAGAATAAAAGGTTAAATAGTTATAGCACGTTGGCGACATCTTATGTCCTCCATTTTTCATTCTTTAAAATAGCTGAATGATGTTGAAATTAGAGCGAAGATATCGCTCAACAATGAATTCATCAGCTAAGCTCATGTTTATTTGTTCTTTGCTGCTAACTAGTTGTGCAAGAGATGTTTGGGGCAAGACAGATGTTGTGATTCAGAACAATTTGCCAGCTGGAACTATTCTAACAGTTCATTGCAAATCCAAAAACAACAATCTCGGAGTCCAACAGATAACGACCGCCTGGAAATTCTCATTCAATCCCAATGTGTTGGGGACAACGTTGTTTTTTTGCAGCTTTTCATGGCCGGGTCAATTTCACCAGTTTGATATATATGTGCAAAATAGGGACGAAACAACTTGTAATTAGTGTATTTGGAGGATTTCACCCAATGGTCCTTGTAGGTTTAACAAAGACACCAAAGACTTCAGTGATTGTTATCCATGGAATCCTCCTTCACAATTAGGGAGGAAACCTCTTATGTAAATGTATGATAGGGAAAGATGGTGTTGTGAGCTGATGCTTCACAATTTAGATGGAATAAGAATCATCTTACTTATCCTTCCGATACATACACATAAATGGGTTTGTTTCTTCTAATATCGTTGTCATTTTACTTTCAATTGGCATCTTGTTCTTTATAGTTGTCGAGATGCTCGAGAGGTGAATGCCAAGGGGTTAATGGATTACTATGCAGACATGAATAACCCTCTTGCAAGGTGGCCCTGACACCTCGCACAGAATCTCCCAAGTCATTCTGATTGCAACTTGATTTTTCACTTAAATGTCATAATTTTTTAATAAAAAATAAGCTTCATTTGAGTTACGATCGAATTTTCACTTGAACTATGGGGCTATTTTAGATGGGGGTGAGCATAGTGTGGGAGGGCGGTCCCACCTCAGAACCGGGAATCATCCACTAAGGACCAGTTTCGAAAAATTAGAACCGAGAATCGCTCGTTGATTGTATGGACCCACCAAGAAACTAGACTTGCCGGTCCAGTTCAGCTCCCAGATGGATCCATGAAATTGATCCCACCAAGCTTTCTTGGACAAATCAGAAAATGGGTTGGTCTAAGTCCCATGGCTCATGAAAGAAAGTTTGTGTTGAGGTTTTTTGGTTTTGGTCAAAAGTTGTGTTGAAGTTGAGCGAGAGGCAGAGGGTTTGAAGATTGGAAGTATGTTTATGCCTTTTGTTTGTTGTGATTGTGATGTTTCTTGCAACTCCAAGGAGAGGGCACTGGCTGGATAGGGACGACTGTTTTGTTTCTTCAACTTTCACTTTCGCTAAAAGTGAACTGAATTTTTTAATATATATATATATCAGTCCGGTTCGGGTGGGCGATTCCACACCGAGAATCGGGAGCCAGACCGGTACTCACCGGTTCTAGTAAATTATAATCGGGAACTAGACCGGTCTTCATGGGAACCGTTGGTTTCAGACCGGGTCGGTCGGGTTTTAGGCGGCTCCCAATTCCTTTGCACACCCCTAATTTTAGAGCTTCGAGAGAGAATAAGCATACATCCAAGGTTTCCTCTTCTTCATGCAATTGTTTATTTGTTTCATTATAAATTACTTTTGTAGTTATGAAAAGGTACGATACAATCCAATTCGAGACCTTAGCTAATACACACGTGTTAGGTGAACTGCTAATCACTTCAACTTTAAGCGACTCGGTTTTTTATTTGTTTCTTTATTTATCTAAATGATAGGTGATTTGTAACATCCTGAATTCGCCCACTTCCGGGATTAATAAAATAGATAATTATTCCTCATTTCGTTTTAGTGAGTCTCACCCGGAACTGATCATTCTCGGGATATTGACCATTAGGGAATAGCTAACT